CCCAGGACCTTTCAGTCCGCAGGTAGATGCTCTATCCACTGAGCCAAACCAGCTAGTCTGTCCTTTCTTCTTTAGCGCCTTTGTCCTGCCTTATTCACCCACCCCCTCCTCTTTTACCCCGAGTTCTGCACATCTAAATACCTGCTTCAGTTTCCCAACCAGCCAGTTTCAATTCACTCAGAAGGGGACTGACACAAGTCTGCTTCTAACTTTTTAATTTTTTCAGGTAGGAAAAAAGAACTAATGCAGATAATACTTTCATGCATTTCATAATGATAATTTAAATTTCATAAAATGGGAATTTAAAATGAAATATAGTTTGGAAAAAAAAGTTTAGAGAGAATGGTCAACTTTGCAAAAACAATTCAGTACCACTCTCTTCATTTATCTTATTTCAACTGGATCAGATACAGCATCACAAGGACCAGTATTTGGTAACTATTATTCTCAAATAGGAAAAGCGAGTTTTCAGCTTGTTTCTTCTAGCCAGCAAGTTGCCCACTTGACACTTTGCACATATGAGGGCTTCAGGGAATTTCCAGTCTCATTAATTACAAAGAGAGGTAGTTCAGTGTTTACCACATTTCAAGCTACACATTACAGTTCAATTCATCAAACATGTATTCTATATATTGGAGATCTCTTTTCCCAAGAGCAACTTTAGAAATATACAGATGACGTATTATAGAATTGTACACCTGAAACATATATAATTTTATTAACCAATGTCACCCCAATAAAGTCAGTAAAAATAAATAAAAATATACACACATAATGAAGAGAGGAAATATATTTTAAAGTTGCATATGAAGCTACAAAGAATATTGCTGGTAATTCTCAAAATGGATTAGTTTGATACAGTTACCACTTCAAATAGAAAGGGAGACTGAATGTCTGATATAGATATTTCTAGAAAAAATTTCAGTGTAGGCAATAAATCCTCATTATTCACTAACTAAACCTTGTTCTCTTCAGGTCCTTTGTTAGATGCGGCTTTCAGAGAGTAATGATAATATTCCCTTTGTGATTTCTTGGCATACTCACAGAATTAAATGTTTCTGACACTCTTTAAAAGATCAGTTCTTGTTCAATGAGGTAAATACATTTTTAATATGCCATTGTAGTTCAATAAAACACATGGTGCTATGGGATACATTTCTAAAGATATTATTATGTAAGTAGCATGTTTTCACGGGAATCTTCAGAACTAGTAAACCTAACCAGAAGCAGACAACCTTCATAATATTAACAGGTGCAAACACAAAATATCATCATGAAGTATGAACAGCCAACCTTAATATTAGCTTGGTTTAGCGATTAAGTAACCGAATTGACATGAAGGTGATGATGGGTAAACACTTCCAAATTCAAAGGCTGAAAAATGTTTTTTAAAGTCTTATTAAATAATATAGATTTGCTAATGATTTAATTTAAAAATATTTCCAGGATTGAAAAAACAAATCTAAAAGTAAAATGATACTGATAACCTCGAAATTGTATTCAGGGTATAAGAGTTTCATAATCTATTATGCAAAACAGTATTATTACTTTAAAGTTATAGTCTGGCCCTACTTGGTTTGGCTCAGTGGATAGAGCGTCAACTGAAGGATCCTGGGTTCAATTCCAGTCAAGGGCACATACCTTGGTTGCAGGTTCAATCCCCGGTCCTGGTCGAGGCATGTGCAGGAGGCAACCAATTGATGTGTCTCTCTCACGCTGCTGTTTCTTTTTTTGTCTCTCCCCCTCCCTTCCACTCTCTAAAAATCAATGGAAAAATATCCTCAGTTGAGGATTAACAAAACATAAAATAAAATGTAAAGTCATCATCCATATGTCTTGGTTAAACACTGGATTTCAATTAATACTTACCAAATGGTTAACAAACAAACAAAAAAATAAAACACCAAGTTTATTCTTGTGGGTTGGGTAAGGGCGCTTGTGTGCCATGATCACAACTCTTGTGCAAAGAGTTGCTCATCGATGCTTTAATATCAGTATTGAACTTGAATATAAAGGCTAAAGAAACTTTTTACAGACACATGATTTGGTGTCTGTTTTCCCTTGATTGTGAATCCTCCTCAAAGTCTTTAGCTATGAAATATATTATTATTATGCCACAACTATTAAGAGTATTTTAATTAATGTCTGCATAAATTTATTACTTTAGATACTTTAATCACACATATTTTCCTACGTTCTTGGCCTAACAGAACCAAGGAGTATAAATATCCTATTTAAAATCATTCAAGCTTAGAAGATTCATTAATAGAAACACAAGCAGTAGCCCCTAAGTAAGCATTTTCTATTTTCTTAAAAAAAAAAAAAAAAGAGCAAAAAGCTATTATAGTGACTGCAACCCCTGCGCCCTGTTTATAATTTATGCACACACACAAAGGCAATGTGGAGCACCTTTTTCAGAAATGCTTTCCTTTGCCATAAATCTTTACCTTTTCATCTGTCAAAGTACATTCAGAGTCCCCAGTGTTCTGAAGCCAAGAGCAGCATAATTCTTTGGACAGTGCGGAGTAAAAAAACCAAAACAAACTAAGGCAATATTTTGTTTTTTATTGAGTAAATTTATGAGATGTTTTTTTTTGGAGGTGGGGGGAGGGTTAAAGTAGTTAAAACAACTTTATAAATTGTGTTCTTCTTCCCACTACTTAAAAATAATTTACCTAAAACATTTAGGTAACAAAAACTACACAAATACCTCAAAATGTATTTAAGAAGTAAAACTATTTAACAACTGCAATCATACAAGAACATTTTCCACTCTTATGATGGATACCAGAGACAATAGAAGAGGTGTTCTCCCAGCAGCTTTAGAGACACCCTCATCCTGTCAATTCCACAAACCCTCCAGGTGTTTCACTAATGCTCTTTCCTTCCAGTTATAATTAATTCTGAAAAACTGTTCACACTCACTTCCCAATCATTACTGAAAATCCTATCATTGGGATCATGTCCCTCAACGCCACCAACCCACCATCACCAATGTGTCTAATAACTTCCTCGTTACTGAGATCAACGTGCACTTTTCTCATCTCGTTTTCTGCAACCTCTGGATCACATGTGACATCGCGATCCACTCCTTGCTTCTTGCAATACTCTGTTCCTGGGGCTCCCACTGGCCATCTCCCAGTTTTCTTATGGCCCTGGCCTCTCCTTTCCAGATCTTCCCTGAGCCCCTCATGGGAAATAGGTGCTGCCTTGCATTCCTTAGGGACTGGGACCTCTTGACACTGTTTTCCATTCTGGTGATTTCATCCACTTGAATCACGTCAGTTGCCATCCATGCTGACCCCTCTTAAATCAATATATCTCTAATCAATGACCAGGGCTCTAAACTCCACTCTCAACCCACAAATGCACCTCACTCTTGTGATGTGTCTTCACTCCAATATAAGACAGCCACCTTAAATACACCATTTCCAAATCTGAACTCATACTCTTACCCTCACACCAGCTCCTCCTCTAGTGTATCCCCTTTCAGTTAATGGCACAACTATTCCTGTTGTACAAGCCAGAAAACTGGGCCTCATTCTTGAATTCTCTTCTTTCTCCTTATCTCCAAATTGGGATGCTTTAGAAAGTGAAAGGGGAAACTCAATATGATAGGACAAGAAGCAAACACTGGAATTGTCTTGGGCTCACAGAGGTGCGTCGTCACGACTCTTTCTCATACTATTAGTTATAAAGTACTACCACTTCCTAAATATCTCTTGTCTCTACTTCTTCCATCTCCACTGCTACTACCTTAACTCAATATCGTACCCAGAT